GTTGTAGTGATATATGCAACTTCGACGAAATTATTTGACGCGTCATCATAGTTTCAGTCTACGTCACTATCATGTCCCATCCTAAAATCTCCCCGATAAAATTTTCACTTTGCGTAAACCCTTTAGAGAACGCACTGACAGTCTTGAGGCATAAATCCGTGGCGTGATATAGCTCCGTCGACTGCATTGTCTGATCGTATAGATCACTGATCGATCACTGATATGCCATGAGGTAGGCAGGCACGCGTGACACGTTGACATATAACATATACCTTTGGCTGGATACGATGCAGGAGATTAATGACATGGCTGTCGAATGTAGGCGTACAGTGCGTCTGGTTTCATGTTCTCCATCAATGTTCAGAGATGACATTCAAGAAGCAGGGAATACGATGGTATTTAACGTAAAAGTTGTGGGAGAATGTATTTACATTCATGCTACTACTGTAGTGCATTATAATCTGTGACAACACTAAGCCTGAAAAAATGCCACTGATTTGGGATTCGAGAATACTTATCGTGGTGGTCTCTTCAATTTCCAAGTGAGACTACAACATGTTTGGGTTTTGAATTGAATAAACCTAAAATATTATATGCATTTTATGATCTTCGATTAAAAATTTAGTATTCGGCAAGTTTCGAAATAATATTTTGCAAATCCATCAATATTTACAGTCGTTGTTAATTTGAAATCAAATATTCAAAAAACGTGACAGGCAACGTTTACTGAAATGTTTTCAGCTGTGTTATTCTATACATGCATCCAGTGTACGGATGGCACGTCTAGCTTAACACTAGCTTAACACTAGCTTCTTATGTGGTCGTAATAGGTTCTAGTTTTCAACAACAATGTACAGTCTGATGTGCTTATCTGGTTATGGTTTAGCCAAACCAACGCGTGCAGCCTGAGTGCGCGAAGGTGATGGCGATCGGATGTCGTGTATGAATTTGTGGCGATGAGAAAATGAAAATATAAGTATAATGAATAAGAAGTATTAAATAAGTATAATAACAATAAATACAGATTAAAAATAAATTTGATATAATTAATAATCATAGAATAATTAATGCAATAAATCTAAAAATCTTCCTCTCTCCTAAAATGCAGTGCCCGACAGGGTCCATAATTGTATCTTACCTTACCAATAACACCTTTTGTAAACATTATGGAAGCAATAAACTATTGAGTATTGAGTTCACATCAACGCATCCTTTCATTGGTCGCGCGATCTATGCACGCGCCATAGAGATGTAGAGAGACGCCATCTAATGCGCTGAGTTCTAAACTCAGTGTCGCATTAGAAATTCACACACACAAAGTAATCAAAATATGTGCTCATTATCCACTGCGCGGTATCAGTACTCAACTACGCAAGCAATGTAAATTATTTACATTGTGACGTCGCTGCTGTCATCATTGCTCACACGAGCAATGTGTTCTGTTTTTGGGCATATTGCTGCGACACCGACCACGCCCCCTGTCATATCTCCCTTTAGTTTCTGTGATCTGTGGCACGCGCAGTGATCGCCATCGCCGACGCGTTCAGAGCCCCGATTACGGTAACTTTTAACGTTTCCAATCCAGACACGCTTCTCGATTCTGCGATACGATTGGTCGTTCAACAGCGTACGTCAGCTGTTTTGACCAATCGCATCGCAGAATCGAGACGCGTGTCTGGATTGGAAACGTTAAAAATTACCGTAATCGGGGCTCTGTACGCGTTGATTCGGCTGAAGCTTTCCTGTAAAGTAAGACGTGGTGTCACGTTCGCCGCGGATCCGAACCGCAGCGTGAGGAAAATGCCGACGACTGAAATAAGAGCTTACGTCTTACAATGTTTACTTTCACTGTTTATTTACTGGTACACAACATATTGCATTATTCATGACTTTGAACAGTCATTTTTAGAGCATTTTTAGATTAAAAGACGATTAGAAAGATTATTTATTTATTACTACAGTTGTCTATGATTTACATAAATCACATAAGTGACGCAGGTTGAGTTTTAGGTATTTTTTTCAGATCAGCAATACGAAACCTTTTCCTAAATATGTACTTATAAAGAACCATACTTGTGGCTGGGTAGGGCAAGATCAAATGTTTAATATTTGTGGATTTTAAAATGTCTATATTAGAGTAAACATTCCCTGTGCTACCCAAAACTAAATGTAACAACTGTAACATAGCAAGGGAACATCTACCTCCATATAAAACCCAAGAACTCCTTGATCTCTCCTAAAACACACCTGAGCCAATAAATTGATGACTTTATCAAAAGTTACCCGAAAAAGGCATTATCGGTTCGCATTGGCAGCCGGGCCCGGCATGAATTATGCAAACGCCGATAAGCCGCCGTCAGAAAGTTGTGACGCGGGATTAATGTCCCGGCACTTGCTGCACCAGGTTAGGCAGCTTTGATCATTATATCCTAGGAAAGGACTTGTAATTGCTATACTTACACGGTTATGCAGATAGTGTACAGACTAAAGTCAGCCGTCTTCAGGTTGTTGTGACGCGGGATTAATGTCCCGGCACTTGCTGCACCAGGTTAGGCAGATTTGATCATTATATCCTAGGAAAGAACTTGTAATTGCTATACTTACACGGTTATGCAGATAGTGTACAGACTAAAGTCAGCCGTCTTCAGGTTGTTGTGACGCGGGATTAATGTCCCGGCACTTGCTGCACCAGGTAATAGCAGCTTTGATCTTTATAATTATGCCAGCTTTGAACATTATATCCTAGGAAAAGACTTGTAATTGCTATACTTACACGGTTATGCAGATAGTATAGTCAAGTTGTAGAACCTGGCTATCCAAGAGTTGCAACAGAGAGAGGTGGGAATAGGTTAGAATCTAAACTTTTCCCACCATTTATTATCTTTAACATGATCTAAACTTGAGATCATGTTAAAAGTTATCTTGATAAGGAAAAGCATTGTTTCAGGCAACCAATAATATAAGGGACTATGGGATATTTTTCCAGGAATATTTTTTTAACTTTTTAAAAAAATGTTGGTCGCTCTTATCACATAACCTACAGTTGGAGAGAAGCTGCTTAATTTACATGCTAGCTTTACTAAAACTGACAGATCTGAAATAGCATGCCTATTTCAGATGTGTCAGTTTTAGTTATTGTTGCAAGTTACAATCCGAATTATGCAAATATTGTGACACGGTTAAAGCCGGCTACATTAGCTACATGCATATTGTATCAATAAACATTAACTGTGGAGAATGTACCCGTGGGTATCTGAACTATCTGATAACAGCGCGATAAGCGAATTACATATTGCTATTACCTTATCAATAGTTTAAAACGGTTTGGATATTTTCGGACATCTGCCATTTGAAATGGAAATAAAATATTCCAAAAATTATCTTAATTGATAAACAACGTTTTAATAAAACCGTCGTGGTTAGAGATTTGAAATCTCTTGATCTGGTGGAAAGAAAACCCAAGACACTGAATTGAAAAATCACTCTGTCTCTAGACGCAGACCTGACTACATAATTCTAATTGAGACATGTGAGACCAAAGTGCCTTTAGGTTGTAACCTCAGTTATTCATACTCAAATAATAAAAATGTCTTTTCAAAATATTAAGATTGTCGTTCTGTCTCCTACCTAAACTTGCTGTGCCCTAACTAGGTCCACATTGTATAACTGCCTAAATTGTAAGACCTAATGTGAATGTGCTAATGTGGTTATGCAATAAACGATTGAGTAGTGAGTATTAAAACAGAAAATGGTACCGAGAATAGCCAGGATCAATCCCTGAAGTGATGTTTTCCATAACCATATTCCATAATGTGCCACAACATCGGCATTAACAGTGACTTACAATATCGCGTTCCGAAGATGGATGCGCGTCAGGTGCGTCATTTGTCATAATTTGACGCTAATGCCTCGTATGACGCGTCTGTTGATTCCCGCCGTGTGCTGTCGTTCGGTATTAATTGCTATTGGATATGGATGATACATGACTGATGTATAATGGCACGGCAGACAGTGTGCGTATTAATGGACTTATGAATAATATTATGGACTTTGTATAATGAATAATGTTTGACGTGACAAAGAATTTGCGTCATATGAAATATATTTGTCCATAAACTATGACTACTGCTATAGTAACTAATAGATCTAGCGCTGAACTGAGTCAGTGCTTGAGGGTAGGGTGATTTTTTTCACATCAAACGTCAGTGAGAATTCAAATCTTCTCCAGATTTGTATAATCTTTCACGTCATAATTATGAACATGTCACTCCTCCTGTGCCGCTCGCATACCTCAGGCAACTAACTCAATTAAGCTTCAACCACACCAACGCGTGCAGATCGTCATCGCCGGCGCGATCAAAGGCCAATGACAGGTCGCGCGACCCATGACAGTTCACGAGACCTGTCATTTCCCTATGACCAGTGGCGGGGCAAGACCTAAATTTGATGTGGGCAAGACAGATTTCGCGAGGCCTTGTTCTGTGGCGACCTGAAGACGGATTTTATGAAATAATAAAAAAAAACGGGTCAATGGTCATTGACCGTTTCTGATTTCTTGATTCAGTGATTATTTTTAAAGGAATTTTGCGCCAAAGAATAATGTTTGTCACTTAAAACCGTGTTGTTGCTTAATTTTGTGTTTGATTATGGCTGAATTTGTTTGGATTTTTTTTTTATCTACATTGTTTAGCTATCAATAATTTATATTTAATAGTCAATGTTTCAAAATTTTTGATGCGCGAGGCCCCTTGTACCGCGAGGCCGTAGGCGGTGGCCCACGTCGCCTACGCCTTACGCCGCCACTGCCTATGACCGCGGCGCGTTGGCGATCTGCACGCGTTGGTATGGTTGAAGCATTAAAGCTAGATAATGTTTGAAGTAAAAAAGAAGCTTATGACAAATATGTTGTTATAGTATGACTACTGTACTGTAGTAATTGGTGAACTATTGTCGATTTGTCGCTGGTCTTTCTAGTATGTTATACAAGTTCTTTGTTACAGATTCGAGAAACATAGTGTTCGTTATAGTAAGTCAACCGGAGCCGTACCACGCAAGCGTGGCTTCGCTCCTTAAACAGGATATAGAGGGCCAAATATTAGAAATAGATAAGGTAAGCCGTCAAAGGAACCTCGGTAACTGTAATTAATCTTCTCTAGACTGCTGCAACAACGTCGATTAATCGAAGATGACCGTATATGATATTTTGGTAAGCTCGGTCAGCGAGTAGTGTCGAAATAATGAGAAGTTTAAAATCTACAACGTGTTATGCGAAAGTGCAGTCTAACCTACTTGAATACATAAGACGGTCCCTTTTGAAAAATCGTTCGCTCTTTGTCGCAGTTCAGATAAAAAGCTTGTCTGGCTTGTCATTTGATAAAATTATTTTTGCATAATGTTTCGTTCGTTTCAGCTGAAAGACGCACTGCTGGACAAAGGCCTCCCCCAAGGATTTCCACAAAGACCGGTCCTGCGCCGCTCGCATCCAGGCACCTCCCGCGACCTTCACCAGATCGTTGATCCACCTAGTGGGAGGCCTGCCCACGCTACGTCTTCTGGCTCGTGGTCTACGAGTGCCCTGCCCTCTGCCACTTGATTTTAGCGATTCTGCGGGCTATGTTTAGTGCCTTAAAAAAATATGCATTTTCAACGTCTCTATTTTGCACAAAAATAAGCAAGACAAAACCCTTTCTTTATCATATCACGTTTCCTTGTAGATACTGCCAAGAGTCCACCTCACGCACATAGACTTCCCTTCGCCCGGCGCGTGGACCGTCATCCCGCTACTGCGGCCCTTAGTAGCCCGGTACAAAGGCAGCGACGTGCGATGGGTGCTGTTCGTGGAGCCTCATACTGCTGTGAGGTGCAGCCAGCTGCTAGACGCTTTGGCTGCTGCAGACCAGCAAAAAGTAAGGCTCGTTTACTTCTAGAAACTGCCAAGAGTCCACCTCACGCACATANTTCAACCTGCCATTATTATTTCTTATAAAATAACAAAAAACTATTGTCAATTGGTCAATGTCATCATTGCATTGCACTGATGGGATAGAAAAATAAACAAGCAAAACCTTAATTCGTTAGCAAACGTCATATTTATTTAAATGTTAGCAGCACTGTTTCTTGCACTGTTATGTTGGCAGGTTTGACTCTTACAGTACCTAGTGCAAGCGAAAACCGACACTAAGGTGACGAACCTTTTCATTCCGCGACTGTACATAGCATTCATGTATAGCCTGACCATGTTGCGGAAAACTAATGGTACTAATTTCTTTTAATGGCAACAGTAACTGAAAACTTCATTGACATGTCACCTTGCATGTCAGTCTATTGCTGTCAAAGTGTAAACAAAGTTTATTTTAAATGTGCGCTATTGGTTTTATGAATTAAATTGCTGAAATATTTTCATAGTCGTGAAAGAAAAGTGGTTCACAATGTGTTAAAGTATTTGTCGAAGAGAAATACTAAGGGTTTGGACAATATTTTCATTGAATAATGTTTCCGACAAAGGTTGTCAAATTGACTGACATGTTTATCGTATAGTACAGTCCACTATGAAAATTAGCTGTGGTTTGTTTCAACTACCTATTTTAAAAATTTTTGTCACTTTTTAAGTGTTGAATTTTATGGGATTGGGATAGAAGTACCTACTGAGTTTGAAGCGTTCATGAGCAGACATTGCAGTTGAATATTCAAGTTCTGAATTTGATTATTGATGAATAATAAAATAAATTTTACTAGCTCGATTGATGGTTTCATTTAATTTATTTAAATCAGGTTACCTATAATAATATTTTTTCGTTAATTTATGAAAATATCAAATTAGCCCGTAATCCTGAATCCTGATACATAAGTCGAGTTAGTAGCCTATTAATTTAACACAGGTACGACTGTACTCAGTGTTGCACTATCAAATGCAATTGACGCGCCTCTATGCCAGGGTTTTATGTTCCTGGTCAGGCTATAAGTACTGTGGTGCATGATATTCTGTGAATAAAAAGCCTGAAAATATGTCACTGATTTGGGAATTTTGATCTGTTACCATGGTATATTATCTTCAATTTCCAAGCACGGCATAAGAAGTCACTTTGTGACCGTGCTTTGTGTGCCTATTCTCAGTCTTGCAGGTTTGTATTAAATTAACTTGACTGTCCAAAGAGAAATATGATTCCAAATATCTTTCATAAAATATGGCATATAGGTATTTACTTAATTGCGAGTCTGCAACAACGGTATTTTTAAATATCATCAGCTTTGATGATCATCGATTAAAAATTTAGTACTCGGCAAGTTTCGAAATAATGTTTTGCAAATCCATCAATATTAAAATTTACAGTCGTTGTTAATTTGAAATCAAATATTCAAAAAACGTGACAGGCAACGTTTACTGAAATGTTTTCAGCTGTGTTATTCTATACATGCATCCAGTGTACGGATGGCACGTCTAGCTTAACACTAGCTTCTTATGTGGTCGTAATAGGTTCTAGTTTTCAACAACAATGTACAGTCTGATGTGCTTATCTGGTTATGGTTTAGCCAAACCAACGCGTGCAGCCTGAGTGCGCGAAGGTGATGGCGATCGGATGTCGTGTATGAATTTGTGGCGATGAGAAAATGAAAATATAAGTATAATGAATAAGAAGTATTAAATAAGTATAATAATAATAAATACAGATTAAAAATAAATTTGATAATTAATAATCATAGAATAATTAATGCAATAAATCTAAAAATCTTCCTGTCTCCTAAAATGCAGTGCCCGACAGGGTCCATAATTGTATCTTACCTTACCAATAACACCTTTTGTAAACATTATGGAAGCAATAAACTATTGAGTATTGAGTTCACATCAACGCATCCTTTCATTGGTCGCGCGATCTATGCACGCGCCATAGAGATGTAGAGAGACGCCATCTAATGCGCTGAGTTCTAAACTCAGTGTCGCATTAGAAATTCACACACACAAAGTAATCAAAATATGTGCTCATTATCCACTGCGCGGTATTCAGTACTCAACGTTCGAATAATCTTTAGTAAACTACGCAAGCAATGTAAATTAATTACATTATGACGTCGCTGCTGTCATCATTGCTCACACGAGCAATGTGTTCTGTTTTTGGGCATATTGCTGCGACACCGACCTGTCATATCTCCCTTTAGTTTCTGTGATCTGTGGCACGCGCAGTGATCGCCATCGCCGACGCGTTCAGAGCCCCGATTACGGTAACTTTTAACGTTTCCAATCCAGAAGCGCTTCATCGATTCTGCGATACGATTGGTCAAAACAGCTGACGTACGCTGTTGAACGACCATTCGTATCGCAGAATCGAGAAGCGTGTCTGGATTGTAGACGTTAAAAATTACCGTAATCGGGGCTCTGTACGCGTTGGTTCGGCTGAAGCTTTCCTGTAAAGGAGGACGCGGTGTCACGTTCGCGGCGGATCCGAACCGCAGCGTGAGGAAAATGCCGACGACTGAAATAAGAGCTTACGTCTTACAATGTTTACTTTCACTGTTTATTTACATTTACACAACATATTGCATTATTTATGACTTTGAACAGTCATTTTTAGAGCCTTAGATTAAAAAACGATTAGAAAGATTATTTATTTATTACTACAGTTGTCTATGATTTACATAAATCACATAAGTGACGCAGGTTGAGTTTTAGGTATTTTTTTCAGATCAGCAATACGAAACCTTTTCCTAAATATGTACTTATAAAGAACCATACTTGTGGCTGGGTAGGGCAAGATCAAATGTTTAATATTTGTGGATCTTAAAATGTCTATATTAGAGTAAACATTCCCTGTGCTACCCAAAACTAAATGTAACAACTGTAACATAGCAAGGGAACATCTACCTCCATCTAAAAAACCCAAGAACTCCTTGATCTCTCCTAAAACACACCTGAGCCAATAAATTGATGACTTTATCAAAAGTTACCCGAAAAAGGCATTATCGGTTCGCATTGGCAGCCGGGCCCGGCATGAATTATGCAAACGCCGATAAGCCGCCGTCAGAAATACAAGGGCAGCGACGTGCGATGGGTGCTGTTCGTGGAGCCTCATACTGCTGTGAGGTGCAGCCAGCTGCTAGACGCTTTGGCTGCTGCAGACCAGCAAAAAGTAAGGCTCGTTTACTTCTAGAAACTGCCAAGAGTCCACCTCACGCACATAGACTTCCCATGTCCCGGCGCGTGGACCGTCATCCCGCTACTGCGGCCCTTAGTAGCCCGTTACAAGGACAGCGACGTGCGATGGGTGCTGTTCGTGCAGCCTCATACTGCTGTGAGGTGCAGCCAGCTGCTGGAGGCTTTGGCAGCTGCTGACCAGCACAAAGTAAGGCTCGTTTACTTCTAGAAACTGCCAAGAGTCCACCTCACGCACGCAGACTTCCCTTCGCCCGGCGCGTGGACCGCCATCCCGCTACTGCGGCCCTTAGTAGCCCGTTACAAGGGCAGCGACGTGCGATGGGTGCTGTTCGTGGAGCCTCATACTGCTGTGAGGTGCAGCCAGCTGCTGGAAGCTTTGGCAGCTGCTGACCGGCACAAAGTAAGGCTCTTTGTTATACCACATCATGTTTACTTCTAGAAACTGCTAACAGTCCAGCTGCAGACCAGCACAAGGTAAGAAAGCAGTAAGATGAATAAATCGATAGTAAGTAGACGGCAACTTCTAAGTTTTAAGGTTCTAATTCCTTGAACCAGAAAATATAAAACATACATGAAGTAATCTCTATCAGTTTTATGAAAAACTCATCAAAGTGCCATTTCACTGGCCACCTAGACTCTAGAAGAGAAATAATACAGGTTGCGTATTTTCATTGAAACCATGGGTTTTTTCTAATAGAAAATTTTAGTATTCATTGATGTATCAAACATAATCGGCTCAGAGCTGACATTTAATTATTTGACAGTTTTAGATTTGGCCATACCATGCTCACTTGGAAAGCTCTCCCCATACAGATGTTACCATATAATATGCTTCTTCAGGAAACCATGTGGATAGGCTACCCCCTGAGCGACGACGAGCCCACCATCATCCACCACTTCACGTTCTACGAGGACCTGGAGGAGGAAGGCGGCTTCGTGTACCCCAACTTTGCCAGCGGCTTTGCGATGAGGATGGAACTCATTGAAGGGTTAGTAGCTTTCAGGTGTTTTTATACTATAGGTTCGGCCAAACCAACGTATGCGGCCTGCGTGCGCGATGGCGATAGCGATCTGACGTCGTGTATGAATTTGTAACGATAAGTTCACATTATCGCGTCCTGTCATTGGTCGCGGCGATCTATGCACGCGCAGTGATAACCATCATCTCGCCATCGCCGACGCGAGCTACACGCGTTGGTTTAACCAAAGCTTAAGGTAGGCGTTAGTTACTTATAAAAAGAAACCAGTAGTTTGCTGACCAATATCCTCGTTTAATTGTCTTCCTGGAAAAGGTGATATTTTGCCAAATAAACTATGATAGCAGATAGCTATTTTGATATTGGATATGTGACTTCAGAAAATACTTGGAAATAAAGTCTGATTTCCACTTGGGAGAGGCCTTTGTCCAGCAGTGGACATCTTTCGGCTGAAACGAACGAAAGTCTGAATGCAAAAAGTAATTTTCTGGAGGAAGAGCAGTGTACAGGTATTAAGGATTCTTTCTCCATTCCGGTTAACTCTATCTAAATGCAAATATTTCAGCTTTCTCCTTGATGCTCTTAATAAAGATGTCAGACCCTTTATTATTGTATCCTCTTTCTTTTCTCAAACTTTATATCTTTAGGCTCCTCTACAAAGTAGAGAGCGGCGAAAGGAAACTGGCCCCGTCTACGAGCTGGCCCAGCTGATCTACGGCGGCGGGTCCGACCCCGGCCCGCTGTTGACCCCCGACCTGAGCTTCTGTATTGTGTCGGGGGACAACTGCGCGACTTACCCTCGGCAATTTGACATTCATCACCATCATCATCATTTCAGCCCTAGGACGTCCACTGCTGAACATAGGCCTCCCCCAATGCTTTCCATGTTGATCGATTGGTAGCGGCCTGCGTCCAGCGCTTCCCTGCTACCTTTATGAAGCCGTCGGTCCACCTTGTGGGTGGACGTCGCACGCTGCGTTTTCCGGTACGCGGCCTCCATTCCAGAACCTTGCTGCCCCATCGGGTGCTAGTTCTGCGTACTATGTGCCGTGCCCATTGCCACTTCAGCTTGCTAATCCGTCGGGCTATGTCAGCGACTTTAGTACAATTTGACATTACTCGTTCTCAAAAGTGTACTTCTTTTAGGCTCCTCTACAAAGTAGAGAGCGGCGAAAGGAAACTGGAGGCCGACTTTTCAATCGACCCCGCCTACGAGCTGGCCCAGCTGATCTACGGCGGCGGGTCCGACCCCGGCCCGCTGTTGACCCCCGACGCCGTGAGCAGGTCTGACGCAGAATGTGCACTTCGCAAAATGAGCACTTCAAAAAATGCGCACTTATCTATACAAATGTAAAGGCTGAAGACTTTGTTTGTATAATATTAGTATGGAAAAGTGCGCATTTCGCGAAATGCTCATTTTGCGAAGTGCACATTCTACGTCAGACCTACCTGAGCTTCTGTATTGTGTCGGGGGACAACTGCGCGACATATCCACGGCAATTTGACATCACTCGTCCTAAAAGTGTACTTCTTTTAGGCTCCTCTACAAAGTAGAGAGCGGCGAAAGGAAACTGGAGGCCGACTTTTCAATCGACCCCGCGTACGAGCTGGCCCAGCTGATCTACGGCGGCGGGTCCGACCCCGGCCCGCTGTTGACCCCCGACCTGAGCTTCTGTATTGTGTCGGGGGACAACTGCGCTACATACCCACGGCAATTTGACACATGTGTAAGTAATATGCTTATTATTTTTAGTACAGTTTATTGCTTTAATAATTTGATTAAGCTTTTGCAATTTTAGCACAAATGGATATATTAAGTTTGTCCATTAGCCGGTTAACATACGGATACGGCACCAATTCAACATAAGTTTTTAACTTTTTACTAAAAAAATCATAGAAAAAAATCGATCACGCGATTATAGCATACTACGTTGCGACTTAAGGAGAATGTGGCCAAATTGTGTCTTGAGCCACAACAAGGTTTTAAGAGAGGGAGGGAGAGAGAGTGAAAAACGTGTATAACTTTTTTTCCTCCATCTATGCTGGTGTCGTAGAAAATAGCACATATACATGACTGGCTTAAATACTGTCCAAAATTACTCGATTACTGGTTTAAAACACGATGGAACTTATGAATTTTTGGAAATGGAAAATCTTCTTGCTATTTTTATCTTATTCGATCTTTTTTCTCGCTTGCTTAACTATTGCTTCACGCATTATAAAAACCATAGAGTAGCGATTGAACCCAGCACCTTCGGCAGGGCAGCGCCATTCCGGAGGAGTCGGTATTCTTCGCGGTGAAAACGTGGAGCGGATTCCACGGCACCCGCGCGCGAGTGGTTAAGAAGACTTGGGGAAGATACGTCACGCATCTGCAGTTCTACAGCGATAAGGATGGTATNCACCTTGTGGATGGACGTCTCAAGCTGCGTTTTCCAGTACGCGGCCTCCATTCCAGAACCTTGCTGCCCCATCGGGCGTCAGTTCTGCGTACTATGTGCCGTGCCCATTGCCACTTCAGCTTGCTAATCCGTCGGGCTATGTCAGCGACTTTAGTACAATTTGACGTTACTCGTCCTAAAAGTGTAGGTACTTCTTTTAGGCTCCTCTACAAAGTAGAGAGCGGCGAAAGGAAGTTAGAGGCCGACTTTTCAATCGACCCCGCGTACGAGCTGGCCCAGCTGATCTACGGCGGCGGGTCCGACCCGGGCCCGCTGTTGACCCCCGACCTGAGCTTCTGTATTGTGTCGGGGGATAACTGCGCGACGTACCCACGGCAATTTGACACATGTGTAAGTACGAATACTTGCTTAATTTAAAGCTTGCTTATTGTCGGTTCAATTTATTAATGGTTTTAATGATTTTGTCATTAGACGGTTAGCTTACAGATAGGCCCATATAACTTTACCAAAATTGTGTCAGGTATAGTTATATGGGCCCACCTCTATGAGACCAGTAGGCATAGGATGCGCGCTGCGATAAGCAGTTATCACGCCGTTTTATCGATTTTGTGCATACATTTTGTCGTTAAAGTATATCACGGCGCGCATCCTAGGCTCCTAGCCCGGCTGAGAAAGAAAGAGAGTACCTATGTGTATTTAACGTAAGTGCGCCTATTAACGACCCCCCGAAATTTGTATTCTATTACCGCCCTATTTTTCTTTCCTTCATAAAATACATAATAACAGGTTCCAGAAAACACGTTACCTAAAAAATTTCTAGACATGTTTATTGACTATCAAAACGATTAAAGTTTGTGTTCGTAAATAACCAGTAAACGGAGTTATTTGACATTATATGGGACGCGCCCGCAACGGACGCACTTTTCATCAGTGTTGCCAGTCGGGTCTACTCAGAAATTACCAGAAATATAAAAAAAAGTAACCTTTTTGAATAAAAAGTAACCTTCATGCGGAGCGATGATTGTGTAAGGTTGTTCATGGATGGAAAATGAATACAATTGATCATCTAAATTCGAAAAGTGACCAGTCGTATAAAAACGTTTCGTGGATTTGAGTTTTATTATCGAAAAACATTTGCTAAAACTCATTTTTTTTAANAAATGACCCCGTTTTTTAACGTTTCATGTGATTTTTTCGTATTATTTCTGCTTCTATTACGATAAAATTTATTTTGTATGTAGCTAAATAGATATTTTATCATCTGATTTCAAAGGTATTGTTCTAACTTATACCGTTTATGAACTATTATTGTGTGACCATCAAATTTGAGTGTAAATGAGAAGTACCCATAATAGTTTTGTGGGGAATCGGAAGGATGGGACTATTCCCACCTCTCGTTCCCACCGCTCCAAATCCTGTGTAGCCAGGATAATCAGCTTGACCGCCAATAAAAACCCAACCAGTGAAGGTCAAGTTTGTCCCGGGGTAAAGTTAAACTGTCATTGGACCCGCAACAAAGCTAATCAGAAGAACATAGGAGGAGTTCGAAGTTAAGGTTCGATTTCCCTCCATTGCAAAGAATCGGAAGGTTGAGGTATACCCACTAAAATAACCCCGTCGATCGCCTTACTGTGAAAATCTAGAGGAATCCGGACAAAGCCTTCAACTACTTCAGTCCACCTAGCTCCATTAATCTAAAATATGCATTGATTTTATTGTGTACCTACAATTTTAAGGGTTTTACATTGAAAATAAGAAACAGTGAAATCACCTATGATTTAGATTTTTTTATTGAGTACAACTTTTTGTAAGCTCTCAAACGCTGAACGTTTAAAAATTTCATATATTTTGTATCATTTTGTGTATGTGCGTCTAAACATTGTGTTGTCTAAATAAAATATATGTATTTGCTGACGGACTGTTTGCCGTTTGGTTTAAAAATTTGGATAAAATAAACCATATTTTAAACCTTAGGTTTAATATTCAAGGGACTCAGATAGTCTTTAGACATTTTAATAGACAATTCAAACACGTCGTTTCTTTTGAAATACAATACCAATAGAAGACGGTAACTACGTAAAACAAAACAAAAGAACAATGGACTTCAGAAGTCTTTGTTTCACAAAATATCGTTAATTGACACAATAAAGAGGAAATAAATAGAATCTTAAACCAATTGGAGCGTCTCTTGGAATAATAATAGAAAATAAGAAATTGGCTACTAGTGATGGGCGGAATTTTGTAAGGAAAAATCGAATATTTTGTACAAAATTAGGTTTGAATTTAGAGTAAGTACCGATGAAAATAATAATCCACACAAGTGAGTCTGGAGATTTTCATTTTGCAATCCGTTGGCCAATGCGTAAGAGCTTACAATACAACTTACAATAAAGTTTTTTTCTATAACAGAACGGACTGGTTTCTCAATATAAATTATTATTTACACAGGAACATTCTTTCTGTATTAGTGCCTATTTTTAAAGGAGACTATAAAAGCGCATATTAAAAAAATGCAAATGATGGATGTTGCCAATAGCATTTCCTTTTAAACAAGTATGACAAACGTATAACAAATATACGAGTATACCCATAAAAAGTATTGTAACTATACAAATATATCGACAGAGTTGACCCCTCATCACTACATTATCTGAGTGGCGTTAAAAGCAATTTACGTTTAACTGGAATTCTTGAATGCCAGTAAAAATACCCACCGTTCAACGAGAAATAACTTTTTCGGATGTTTACTGTAACTGGAGAGTAAACTAATTAAAATTAAGGGTCTTATTTTTTGCGTCAATTTGTTTTTTATGTTACTTTCTCTTGTATTTTCATAACTTAAAGTTTAGATTGATTTAGAAACTAACAAGTAAGTACTCCCTGAAATTTAATCTAGCGTCACGCTGGCTGACTCATAAGGCATTGTGATGAGTGGGAATAGTTATATTCTAGTATACTTTACTATTTAGGAAGTCCACTGCTGAAGAAAGGCCTCCTCTAAGGATTTCCACAAATATATTTTTTACTTTACTCTCCCACTCGGTGGACCGACGATCTGGTGAAGGCCGCAGAAAGCACCTAGAAGCGGGCAACGCAGAACTGGTAATTGTGGAAACCCTTGGGGGAAGCCTTTTCACAGCAGTAGACGTTATTTGGCTGAAACGAACTAGATTAATCATAGGACTATGACTGATGTCAATCAAAGAAGCCACGATATCCGAACGGTGAAGGGGTCGGACTGGCCGACTCGTGATCGGGGGAACGCGTGTTCGGTCCCCGCCGCCGTTCGACTATTGTGGTGAGCTCACTCGTGACACAAGCATATTATTTAGCTTAGTACGAGTGTCTAACGGGACTATTAGCAGAGTAAATACAAATGAGTAGGTCATCTTCATAGAAACGCACCGAGCTCGGTTTGTATGTGAGCGTGCCAATATTATACGTATGCGGCGCGCACGCACACACTGATCAAATTAGGCGCAACCACGACTGGCTCCCCGCTAATCCCCGCTAAATTTTGTCAGTGTGTGCGTGCGCGCCGCATACGTGTTGGCGCGCTCACATACAAACCGCGCCCGTGCGTTTCTATGAAGATAACCTACTCATTTGTATTTACTCTGCTATTAGTAATGTGTGTAATAACAAATTACTAATAATTTGTAAGAAAAAAAAAACATCTTTGTTTTAAAAAGCGACCTTCGTATCAGATATTCAAGTCACCTTTCTCCTTGTCCCCAGGGGTGGTGTTAGCCTAAGATGGTGTTGGCTCTGGTGGTCGGACTCCTGTGCGTGTGGGGCCGCCTGACCGTCGCTAACCCTGAAGCGAAGCGGCTGTACGACGACCTGCTGTCCAACTACAACCGGCTGATCCGGCCCGTCGGGAACAACTCAGACCGGCTCACCGTCAAGATGGGGCTAAGGCTCAGTCAGCTCATCGACGTTGTGAGTACTTACTCTTTTTTTTAATATCGTCTATTAAAAAAAAACTAGGAATTTTTCATAAAAATAATTACGCTCTGTATCGACCCCTCTAAGTAAGCTAAATTAGTACATTAGTATCTACAGCGCCTTGCGATCGACGGAGATCAAACCAAAGTTCCTCGATTATTCGAATCGGCAGTTTGTTGCCCACTCGGTTAGACTATTGGCACCACCGTTAGACGATTTTTTTTCACCTGGATCTTTTCTTCTTCTTCATTCTTTCCACCTGGTGGGGCATAAAGATTAGGACACATATACGAGTAAAATAACTACCACCGCCTGATCCGGCCCATGGAAGACTGGCTCACCATCAAGATGAGGGACGAATGGGGATCCATGTGTTAATAGCGGATTCAACGTAATTAAAGTCCAGCGGTCATCGAAAAACAGTTCTTCGAATCTTGGATAGGTAATCCGATGCCGACACAGCACAGCGTCTTGCGATCAATGGAGATCAAACTAGTGTTCATCAAATCTCGAACTGATAAGTCAATGTCAACACCGTTGGAATATTGACATTTTTTATCCTAGCGCTGATAGTATAAAAATATTATAAGATTATGTACGATAAGGCAATAGAACTGAGCCTTACTATAAAGACGAATCAAGTAAATAAGGACAAGATTCTCATTAAACGAAATGATTTAAGCTGTCTGAAAGTTAATCCCGTACAACCACTAATTCCAATACAAAAATGGCAATATAATGCCAGACGTAAATTTCGAGCGTCTCCTTTATTTTATCTAACGACTAAAAACTTCCGATGTTATCAATCACAGCCCTAAATCATCTATTATTGTGCCATAGAGTACAGCTGGGTATAGACCATTTAACCCTCAACCATACCCCTACTTTTTCTCCCAAAGTACCTTTCAACTAGTAAAATGGGAGTCGGCACAGAAATCTGAATTTATGAGCTCGCCCAGTGAGGCGAAACAAGCACTTTGGTGGACGTGGAACTAAGAATTGTAGGAAAATATAGGGATAGATTAGTAATGATTTATATGTTTATTATAATAAAAGAAAAAAAATAAAAGAAGCTGTATGTAGTTACTTTCAATCCGATCGATTGGTCAAAATCACTAATACAAAATTATGTTGAAGAACATAAAACACATGAACAGGACACACACGGACTTTCTATTTGCATACTTACTGCATAAGAAAAACCTCAAGGATGCACCAACGCATTTTACACGCATGTACGGCACGTAAATACATAATAATATCAGTTACAACGGCACAACGTGTAAAATTTTCTTTTGACTACTTTATCATTCACTGCGTTACCACTGGCCGTCCACATTTTTATCATCAAAGCTCTTTCATTACTACAAAGAGCCGTCTCTAAAAGCCAATTTTCTCTTCCAAGAATACCCAAAACAATCGTATTACAAGCCATACCATTTCTTATAATAACAAAACTAAACCTTTTATGACCCGACCCTCTATTGGGATCACAGTTTAATTTACAATTCGTTCACGTCTCCCCTTTAAATAGTTTGGATAGGTATAGCAGGATTTAGTCGAATAGCTTAAAGCCCTTCATTAGAAAGGATTCACGTGGGTTACATTCAGCTTTTTGCATGCGCTTAGGGATATTAACATACTCTTACAAAGTAAATAGTACGTGTTTTATAACTCTTTTGGAAAATATTAGTTTTGCGCAAATTACATACTAATAGTCCCGTTAACCCCTCGTACTACGCTGAATATGCTTGGGTTACGACTGGGTTACGATCAGTCCATCTTCGCCGTTTTATAATCGCTCGCTGGTTATAAATAAAAAAGTTTCAGGTGTGCATGTACACGAATTCACATTACATAATTATACGCTTACGAGTTCTATTAAACGTACCGAAGGTAAACATATCATTTGAAACGATTTTAACTACAAATGGACGATATTGCTGGCAATTGTTATACACGCGTATTAGAAAAGTTAAAGTTCCATAGTTTTCAACTTCGAGTGTAAGCTGTGGTTGTTCGGAATTGTATTTAACTTTGTTTGAACGGTCCAAGCCTTCGTCCCATTGTATATGGAATCGGGAAGACAATGGAGTTTTCAGAATTCAAACCAAATTATCCTTTTCAACGAAAATTCAACTTGTAAAGCCTATTGAACCAGTCAATTGAATTTTACGAATTCAATACCATCAGCTACTAAAGCTGACGAATTCATTTTTAATTAAATAAATTGTTATGAATTTCACGCTTCCGTAATTACAGTTATTTAAAATGTACATTATAATTTGTTTTTGTAACTGTGCTGTAGTTACGATTAAAATACTTATTGAATACACGACATTCGTATCGTACAGTCAATAATAATTTCAGAACCCAATATCCTATTCAATCAAAATATAATTTTGTAAACTGTAGATCTTAGCAAAGCGTTATATCATTTAGAGGAGTACCACAAGGCTCTACTCTCGGCCCTGCGTTATATCTTCGTTTCTGACTTTGCTAAAGTTTTAAACAGTATCATTCAATAAATTACATGCCAGCTGCGGGTTGCATTTAACTCTAACAACAAATGGCGCCGACCAAACTCATTTAACTAAACCTCTTTGGACGCTACAGTAATTGAATTTAGATCTGTCTTGGAATTATGTCTACCGGTAAAATTTCTCCTTTTAGACTTACTAAAATTGGAATGCCTTAATTAAGAAAAAGTGTAAATGGAAATACTTCCTACTTTGCTTTGGACCATTATTGTATCTTAAATTCTATCTAGAAAATTAGAACCTCATCCTTTTGTTGAAGTCGGTTAATGGGAGGTTTGGGTAATTTAGTAAATGCAATTATTATAAAAGTTTTTATACCACTAGGTAGTTAAACAGCTCAATGTAGGTTAGTGTATGTAAGGCGGCCTTATTTGTGTCCAAAAACTTTGAATCAATGTGTCTTTCATTTTGTTTGCTACATTTAGGAACACAACTAAAATCTGTTTGAAGTAGATTAAAACGTAGACTATGATTAAGAATTTCAGTGTCCAAAATGCCGTCTAAAGTGACTGATATTAATTATTAGTAAAGAAGTTTATAAGAATACTAGATTATTAAGTAACATAAAGTTACATCGTTCATCATTGTTCTTCCATTACACGAAATAGCATGTGTTCTGTGTAATTGCCTTAACAAATTTATACTAATTAATCTTTTCATAGTCTAAACCCCAAGTTGTAAGTGGATAGTACAATTACCTTAAGCCAGCTATGAATTTGCATTGAACTTTCAAAATGGAGGCTAAACTCATCTAACTAAATCGCTCGACCAAACTAGGATTGGAATCGAATTCGCTTCGTTGTTTTGATTATTGATCAATTAGGTTGTTTCGTGAAGGAGAAGTGAAAATTGATTAACGATTGAATTAATTAATTTTACGCCTACTTTGCTATGTTTAGAATATTTCAGTAGTCATTGACTTTGTTCAGACAAATTCTCTTGGGACTGTTAACTAATACTCAAAGAATCAGACAAATATAATTGATTAATTTATTTATACAAAATCCTTCGCATAAGCCATCATTAGAAACACCATCAAGTATTTCGATTTTATATCAACATTAGGTACTCGTCGTTGCTACAAACAAAATCCCTTTGACACCAATATCAATGATACCAATGTAATTTTGTACAAACAAAGCCATGGACAAAATATACCTAAAGTTTTTATTTTAACCTTTCACAAACCCCTGTGATAAAACATCAATTAAATCAGCTCCAAGTTTCACAAATCCTCTAAACTCCCAATCAATAGCAACCCCCAAAAAAAACCTTATCCTTTTCTCTAAAATATGACTCTAAGTTCTACTGCATTTTTCCATTGTCACTAATTACCATTGCTAAAGAAATACCCCGGCGTTCCTTTTCGGTTTCTTCATTATTTGCGGGACAGAGGAAATCCTTGCTTCTTGCAAAAACTTTCCTCCTTAATGAGTGGGGCAAGTTTAGGAGTAGCGATCCGAATTTTACTTAAAGATATTTACATATTTAACTGATGACTTTAATGAAGTCTTCTTTGTTTAAAACAAAAAGCTGTTTGAAATTGTATAAAGATATGAATTATTAAATTAAAACCACATTTTAAATACTTATTTAAGAACTTAAAGTCAAAAGCAGGCAACGTAGAACACATTATCTTATTGAAGCCTGTGAAGAGCTTACTGAAAAATAAATTTTGGAAACAGTCTTAAAATTGATTTTAAATCAATTTTTGAGTATAGAAGGTTTAACCTACTTGAATGCTTATTCATATTAGGGACAAGATTTAACCCAGATGAACCTACCGACCCATACATGGGTTGTGAGAAATAAAAAAATCTACTGTCGTTATTTTATTTTATTTATACAAACCAAAGTATTTTTTTTAAACTTTAGAAGGTACTTGTTGATTATAATGACAACTAAAGCAGTAAACTGAATCATTTCTCTTTTTTATTTGCAAGTGAACAAGTGCAGAGAAAAAAAATTAAAACATGTCTTCAAAAAGGTAAGATTATAATTACTTGATGTTATTATTTTCAAAATACGGAACTATTACTCTAAAATAGAATACATTGTAGATTGATTATGTAAAAAAAAATTAAATCAGCGTTATTTTTTCCCTCTTTTATTTAGCCGTAGATTCCTTGGACCCATACATGGGCCCGTCGGCACAACCATAGTACATTTGATCTATATGAGTAAATATGCTTGATTTTGCTATTTCAGATCGAAACCTTTGTCCTTGCATGAAATATTGAATGAACTAGAAAATAGCATTACATTTGAACCACCTGACAACGCAAATACCGTTGTTACTGATGAAGATTCAGTCGTTGGAAGGACCCAAATATGCGTGTAACCCTCTTATAAACTATTTTGACCAATTATTCAATGATACAGCGATAAATGTTAGTAGAACTTCGAGAAAGAGGTCAATCGTCGAATCCAACTCGGTTGGGCAGCGTCTGGGAA